TTTTCGATTTTCTCCGTTTTTTATCCAAATACAGTGCCGGATGTGGAAGTGTGTGACAGGTCGTAGTGCGTAGTTATCTCTCGTGGCTTAGCTCTCTTAGATTTCGGTTGTGGATTAGGATTTTTTATACTCACTCGATAGAGCCGTCCCTCCTCTAACAGAATCAGTGTTTTTTTTTCGATTTTCTCCGTTTTTTATCCAAATACAGTGCCGGATGTGGAAGTGTGTGACAGGTCGTACTGCGTAGTTATCTCTCGTGGCTTAGCTCTCTTAGATTTCGATTTTGGATTCGGATTTTTTATGCTCACTCGATAGAGCCGTCCCTCCTCTAATAGAATCAGTGGGTTTTTTTCGATTTTCTCCTTTTTTTTTCCAAATACAGTGTCGGATGTGGAAGTGTGTGACAGGTCGTACTGCGTAGTTATATCTCGTGGCTTAGCTCTCTTAGATTTCCATTTTTGATTCGGATTTTTTATGCTCACTCGATAGAGCCGTCCCTCCTCTAATAGAATCAGTGGGTTTTTTTCGATTTTCTCCCCTTTTTTTCCAAATACAGTGCCGGATGTGGAAGTGTGTGACAGGTCGTAGTGCGTAGTTATCTCTCGTGGCTTAGCTCTCTTAGATTTCGATTTTGGATTCGGATTTTTTATGCTCACGCGATAGAGCCGTCCCTCCTCTAATAGAATCAGTGGGTTTTTTTCGATTTTCTCCCCTTTTTTTCCAAATACAGTGCCGGATGTGGAAGTGTGTGACAGGTCGTACTGTGTAGTTACCTCTCGTGGCTTAGCTCTCTTAGATGTCGGTTGTGGATTAGGATTTTTTATACTCACTCGATAGAGCCATCCCTCCTCTAACAGAATCAGTGTTTTTTTTTCGATTTTCTTCGTTTTTTATCCAAATACAGTGCCGGATGTGGAAGTGTGTGACAGGTCGTAGTGCGTAGTTATCTCTCGTGGCTTAGCTCTCTTAGATTTCGATTTTGGATTCGGATTTTTTATGCTCACGCGATAGAGCCGTCCCTCCTCTAATAGAATCAGTGGTTGTTTTTCGATTCTCTCCGTTTTTTTTCCAAATACAGTGCCGGATGTGGAAGTGTGTGACAGGTCGCACTGCGTAGTTATCTGTCTTGGCTTAGCTGTCCGTATTTCGATTTTTAATTTGGATTTTTTATAATCACTCGATATATCTAATCCTTCTCTAATGGAATCATTGGTTTTTTTTCGATTTTCTTCGTTTTTGTTCGAAAGACCGTGCCGAAAGTGGTAGGGTGCGTTCAGCTATATCTATAATTCAGTTTATAAGAGGGCATGGTTGTTTCTCGTAATTTGGATGTGGTCTTCTTAAAAGTAGTGTGGTGATATAAGAATATAGGGATGTTGGGTAAGATGGTACTCTATCAGCGTTCATATTAGTAATTAAATATTGATAGAAAAATTTTATTTAAAATCAGAGTTTTCTAAAATCTCTTTTTGTTACTTTTCAGCAAATCGGTTCCACATGCGTCGTGGACATTGTTTTGGTCAACGAATGGATGAAGCTTTGGAATAGATGATCATACGGAGCTTTCATCGTGTGAAATTTGATAATGAATCGTATAAGTATGAATTCTCACAAAATTTGTTGAGAAAATGAATAGAAATGTTTGCTATCATTTGTTTCATCTTTCTTCCTTATTACAGGGCGTTAAGTTTCAAGAAGTTGGCCGGAATTGAAATGATCGCGCAGTGTCTGGTCACGAAAGCGAGACTGCGATCCGAAGCCACTTGATAGCGTTAGTATGGACAATGAAAGAGAAACAAAAGAAAACACTGGCGAGAGATCTGAAGATTATTCGTCAGAAGCATGCGGATAAAGGAATGTTAGAAAGAAGCGTGAAAGAGATGAGCACGAGATAAACTTCATTTGTAAATATCTGTGACGTAATTTCGTTCTACCGCCTTGGATACAAAACTAGCAACTATAGGGGTAAACATCTTTCCTTCTTTCTTTTCTCGTTTAAAAGACCAAGCGTTATTGGATAGCTGTAGCATATTCCGTAACACAGCTTGTTCGGCATTCAACGAGTAGCAATTAAAGATACCTTGACAGGAAAAAGCTGTTCGAGTGAATGAAATGTTCGTTGACATCAAAGGAACTTAGTAAAATATTAATATCAGAAAACTTCGATTTCACTTATGACTCTGATATACTTAACATCGGTCGTTAACCTGTCATCGGTAATTAAACAGCAATTCGACTTGAAAATCATATATAAAATATTGGACGTTATTATACAATATGTAATAAATGACAGTATATATGTTTTTATGTTTCTGAATTATTTTTATCGATAACTCCTAATTCCTAACCTACAGAGAATGTGTAAATTACGAAATTCATTATTAATAACAAATTATGCTAAACTTGAAGTTTAAATATCAGCTATTAAATCGTTTTTAAGTTTAATCTTTAAAATTTTCTTATCTGGGTACTTATCTGTAAGTTTATAATTAAATTTAGTTTTAATTCCAGTCACTAGGAATGTTGTAATCTTATTTTATGCTGAATCGGTAACGTTTGGTAGTTATTTACTTTATCATCTCCGTTGGTCAAATTTGATACACTTCAATGCAACCCTATCTTTACACCGATAGTAGGTAACAAGAATTAATGACAACCGCGTACTTTGAATTAGAAAGTTTTACTAAGAATGTTTCTCGTTCTATCAAGATTTATGGAAGAACTGAATTTTGCCATACATCAAGAAATTAGAAAATTCGAACTTTTTTAACTATTCCGAACAAGAGATTCCCGCTAAAATTAATTGTTGTTGCTCCAAAATACAATTAGTGTAACCTAACTATAAAATCTTGCTATTTATAACAGAATAAGAAGAAGCATTATATTAAGCGGCCTACTGATACATTTTGTTCAAATTTCGTGTCTTATATAAAAGACTTGGTCGATTCGATATATTAAAATTGAATACTTTATTGACGCGACACTAACATATTTCAATTTAAACAAACTTCTAATATTTATAAGTTATGTGAAAAGTCGGAAATGAAGAAAAACATGAAAAACTCGAACTAAAGAAGACTAAGTGAAAATCTGGACCCAAATCAAGCCATTGCTTACCACCACCACGACTTACATGAGAAAGAAGATAGTCGTCGAACAGGTGAAACATCCGGAATCAATTCGAGGATCCTCAACGAGGCCTAATAGCCGGACGAACACTTCGAGCACTTGCCATATGGGAAAGAAAGCAATTAAGGAATTATTTCATAGGGATTGATCGTAGCCACGTCGTATCCGTCAAATTACAGGACCCATACCCTAGTCGTGTACGCAGACAAACATCCTCCCACTGATATCGAATCTTAGATGTGTCTTATCCGAAGTCAAACCGGTAAATGACTATTATCGATCGAGCTGCCTTTACATAGCCGGTGATCGACCGACGATAAACGGGAATTGCCGATCTTTACCGATTCCACGAATAATTATTTTTCTCTCGTAATAGTCAATAATTCGTGAATTTTGTTGTACTTTTTATTAATTGCTTTCTTTGGACTTTGGGAAATTTTGTACTAACAACATCAATTCGTTATTAACAATGATTTAAACAATTTATAAAATTTTATTTGATATTATAAAATTTATTTAAATTAAATTATGCTTTCCCGATATGAGTTTCGCGATATAGGTGTTATCGTTAGTCGTAGGAAGTATGTTAATTTTGAAAAATAAAAAATTAAGAAAAAAATGGTAAGTGGATAAAAAAGTGGTTAATGGTATAAAACAAGTTCTCCAATACGGAAGGAATTACCGAGATAATTAGGAGACACCAATAGCCAGGATAATAGCATCGATGACTGCATCATTTATAAGTCACTTAAACCTATCAGTTGTATCGATGTCCTTGCATCGCGAAATGTATCAGCGTTTATAGGTTGTTTTAAGATAAGACAATCGATCATCATGGTTGATTGGTGGAAGAAAAACGCATCTAGAATCGTTTCACCGATCATCTCGCGGTAATTACGTAACTTTTTAGACCTCGCTGGATCGCGTCTTTATATACGAATTACGATTACAAACGAAGCATCGCGCTATAAAGCAAGGAAATTCTCGTTATACGTATGTAGAATGGTCGTGGTATCAGTGAAAAAGGAAGTTGCGGTGCTGCTAGTTGATACAACGTGTTTCCATTTTATTTTCATTACAGTGGCTGTAGATGAAACTGGCAGGTATATTTACATGTGATCCATTTGCAAGTAAAGATAGCTGTCGTAACTTTATCCACCATGAAGATATTTATATCGCCTGATTCGATCTTTCGTTATTCATCGAAATAAACATACGTGAAAATATAGAATCACCACGAGGCCTATTAGTGGGGAATTTGAAAACTCGAACGAATATATTTGATCTACAAGACGGTACTCCAGTTTCGTGTCTACGACAGGAGTAAGTATTCCGCGTATAAAATCGTGAGACCGTGTATTCCTATTTTAATTAATTCGAATTTGAACGTGGACATCCGGAAAATTAAATAACGATTTCGAATATTAACTCGCATAGCATAGAATTCTACGCTTTTACGATTAAAATTATTCAGACCTTAACCGACTCCTATTCATATATAGATTCTATATATGTACACTTGTTCCAAAACGTGTTTCCCGGTTTTGGTTCCCAGTGTCAAAGTCGAGTCATGCAGACCGCGCGACTATAGCGGCGTATAAATATTTCTCGAAATAGCGATAACATCGTCGGCGTGTAATGCATTTCGTACCTAATACGGCAGAAACGGCAGCGTTTTCTCTCTTTCTTATTATATTACCATATTGATAGAAGGTAGGAAAGAATTGCGAGGAAGATCGAATGCAGGTATCGTTTTTACTAACCGAGTAACGTTGGACACGGAGCGGCAAGCTACAGTGCGACGACGGCACATGCGCGCAGGAGAAAAGGACGGTATCGAGCCAGGCTAGTGGCTTGCCCGTCAACAGACGGTGTCGCACCGTCAGTTTCTTCCGCCGCGCCTGAAAGGCGTTCAGTGTCGAGCCGAAGAAACGCGCGCTTCTTCTACATCGTTCGTTCGTTTTTTTTTTTATTTTTTCGTCAACAGAGAGGTTACGCGTGTGCACTGTTCGTGTGCAGCCGGCGTAGGAGGAACCGGTGCGTGAGAGAATGTAACCGAATCGTCACGGGACTGTTGCCGTCAGTCAGCCGGTAATTTCGCACACGGTAAGGCAAGACACCTTGCAGAATTTTCGTTTGCGATACAGTACGCCCATGTATGCTTGCGTACGCGGGCGCGCGCGCGCTCGCGCGTGAGTGTGTGTGTGTGCGTGCGCGCGCGCGGCCGACATCGTACACGACCGTTCATGGTTACTGCACGTCACAGGCACATTGCGTTTCATCCGGAACCTTGGACGCTCGGTAACCGTATAAACTATCGTTCGACGTTTTATAAATTTACGTAGAATCGGACGTCAGAGTGTGGAGCGAGGACGTAATCGGTGGTTCGCAGACCTCGTCGGCACGTCGCGTGGAGCCGATAGTCTTCGATTTCGGAACCAACGAACGCGTGTAGCTTCTTCGGAGACTACGCGCGATTCGATCAATTCGTTTCGCTTGGAACGTAATTGAAACGTTGCCGCGATAAACGAGATTTCCTCCAGCCAGATAACGTTCAACGTCTAACATCGTCTGCGAAGACACGCGCGCGCGTTCCTCAGTTGTCCCGAGCTACGTAGTCCAATTCCCTGTATATTTCCTTCTCTTCTTTTTCCTTCTTCTACTCTTTCTCCCTGCCTATAAACCTTTCTATTTCTCTCACTTCCCATCTCCCTCTTTCTCTAATATCTCTTTTCTTCTCTCTCTCTCTTTCTCTCTCTCTCTCTCTCTGTCTACTTCCCTCCACGTCCTCTCCTCCTTCTGTTTGTCTTTCCCGTGCGTTTACGTACCGCTCATGCGTGCTGACCCACGATCATTGTATTCCGCCCGTTTCTCGCGTACGCTTCGGCCACTCGTTTCGTTCACGCACTTTGTCGAGAGACAGGTATGCACGTACACCTGAGAAAACGCATAGCGCGATAAGCAGCGGACGTAACGGAGCAACGATTCCCTAATTAATAAGAGCGGCGTGCGACGAACGCTGCGAACGGCGCGTGATAAGACACTGGGTAAGAAAGTAGAAGGGGGAAAAGGACGGAGATTCACGCGACCCTGACTGGAGGCATCCCGAGGGATTTTCGAGGTCAAGGGAATCGGAAACGTGGTGAAGAAATAGCGAGGCAAACGCACGAGCTTCCACGAAATGGGACTCGCGAAGGAGGTCCCTTTGGTCACCTTACCATCCTCGATATTAGCTGGTCGTCTGGCATCAGCCACTTTATCTGCTCCCCTGACCCTTCCTGTCTCTCATTCCCTGACTTTCGACCTTCTCGTCGAAGGGGGCGAGGTGGCTTTGAGCGAGCACGGAAAATAGCCGCCTCGGATATTACGCTTGTTAAGCGCGCGGAAGTGCAATTACCATTCTTCGAGGATATCTTCGGCATGACTAATGCTCTAGCTTTGCGCTCCGTTCGCGGGTAATCGTGTCGAAGTTTAACGAGACCTTTCGTCCTATCGTTTATACGCATCCACGCGATATCGACCGTATCCGTTAACGTATCCGATGAAACTTGCACGCGTTACATCGTCGACCACGTAGAGGCAATCGACGGTCCAACAAGTTGCAAATAACTTCAACCCTCGCGATATTTCCGCGATATTTTGCGTGAGAAAGTTCACGTCTCACGCGATATTCGAATAACTTATCAGCTAGCAGAGTTCCTGTTCCGAGGCGGAACCAAGTTAAAATTGCTTCGCGTCGAGTCGACCACGAATCAGCAGCGGTTACCACGGGTAATTCGCGAAATTGACTCGCAAGATGAAAAGAATCGGCAGATCACTCCCATCGCGCTGCCGCTCGATACGGGTCATGACCCTGATTTATTTCTATTCTTCTCGAGGAGACCGGCAAAGCGTATTAAGCGATTGAACGGTCAATGTCGCGTCAACTAGACTCGTCCTTCAAAGCCTGCGCCGGAAGTTACGTAATTACCGATCCACCAGCGGTAATTGAACTACAGCCACTTGTCGATTAATCTAGCGCGTGAAGAAATTCTCGTTGCTCTCGTTCTCTCTGTGCAGTCGCCGCTGCTCCAAATCCAAGTAACGCCGGCATTCATCGGCTATACAAATATTTTTCTACGACGTTCCACTTGTGTGTATCAAAGTGCAAATGTTTGCCTTGTATTTACGAGCACGTGTACGTAACGTCTAATGGCCACTTGAGAGATAATGCGGTGGTTTATAAACCTCTCGGTGAAAAGTCAAACGGCGACGGCGAGAAAAGCTCCGACGAAAGAGAAGCTAACTCAAACACGTACGCGTTGCTAACTTTAGTCCGTTGTTTCCGATTTCTATTCGTTTCGGGAGCCCTGTAAACCACGGTAATTCATTCATCGCGCCGGGCAGCTTAGAATGAAGGCGTTACGCGATATTGCATAAGCGCGTAACGTACGAGAGCTTCGGTCTAGCACGATCCAACGAGATTACTCGTACGATGCATTACCCGTTTAATAGTTCTCGTTCGCGTGCTTGGTAAAATTAACACTCGCGGATTACGATACCAGGTTGGTATTTACCGGTCCGTGTTAACGCCGCTCCGTGAAAAAAAAAAAAAAATGTCCACGAATATTTCGTTTGCCGAACTGCAAAGCGTATCGTATCGCGCTCTTTCGATTGCGCGCAAAAATGCGTGAAGCTGTTGACATTTCCGGGAAAACGTGATTAGCGGAGTTGGCAAGCGTGTGCGCAATTGAATTTCTAAGCGTGTGAACGACACCCTAATAAGATACAGCGAAAACACTGCGACGGAGAAGCTTTACGACCGACTACGTACGGTGACATGACGACATTCCGCGTTCTTCCGCTTTCACGACCGAAATACTCGATCGTCACTCGCTGTTGAGTAAACTCGAGAGCACTAGGCGCTTGTGATACGTCGTTACTTCGGCCACTTCTTCAAAATTCGCGCACCATCGGGCGCCAGAAACATTTTCTTCAGTGCCAAGGAAGAAGCACCGGCACGAGGCGTACTCCTACATTATTTTCGTAACGCTTCTCTGTTTACGCGTCGCCGCTGTATATATGTACTACGCAACCCATTTATACAAAGGTGTGCGGCATGGTCGCGAGTTAGTCGTGCGAGACACGAAACGTATCGAATATATCGCGTCTTTAATCCCAACTCGTTAATCTTTGCCGTTCATCTTTTCAAGATCGGCCAAATCCTCTGTGAATCGTCGGTTCTTAGAAAGCGAACGCAACGTTAAACGCTTAATTAACGCACGCGTAATTAATGCGCCAAACGGAATACGAGGCTTGTTTCTTGATCGATCACGACAACGTATTCCGCTTTATTCCGTTTAGAGGAGTCAGGCTAGAGGACGTTACGAAAATTCCGAAACTCGGGCAATCCGAAAATATCTACGATCTTCTTTCGTCGCGCTTCTTTTCGACCTTATTCTCTCTCGTTTTCCTTACTTTTGTTTTCTTTTGTGCTTCACCGGCTTTGTTACGCTTCTGTTCAGCTTCGTTGTGTTTTCACGGTCATTGTTAATCCTTCTTCGAAACGTCCAACCGTACCTAATAATTCCGAGCTTATTTTCCTTTTTTAACAAATTCCGTGACACATAGAAATAAGAGGCATATTTTTCTTTCTCCTTTTTCGCGCGCTAACGTTGAAATTACCAAAGCGGTCGAAATGCTAAACTGAACTTTTTCTTTTATCCAGGTTCGAAACGTGATTACTTCGCGATTATTTATTTTTATTCTACCTCTTCCATTGATATTATCGTATTTACGCGTATTATATTTCGATACACGATACAGCTCGTTAGTTGCGCTATTATGTGAAACGTGGTTGGTTGATTTCTGCAAAACTTCCTTTTGCGTCAATTAAGATAAACTTCGATAAGACAGCGGGATGTCCGTACACGGAACATTAATAGGTGCTCGACCTTTCTCGCTCGCGAGTGATAAATTCGGTTACCGTATAATGGCCAGTCTTACTCGGGCGATAAACCTTTTATCAATTATGTTCGATTAATTTCTCGTTTCCGCAGTAATTTCCAGCTCTGACGTTCGTTACATTGCGTGGTCACGTTCGTAAGCGCTCGTTACGTCGTTGCGCCAAGTAAGTATATCGGGAATACGACGTGTCGGCGATTTTCGTGCCCATTGATCGAACTGAAATCGAGACACGGTACGCCGTGTATCGATTGACGCTGATTTAACTCCCGTACGTAAATATTTCGCGCGATTCCGAGAATTTGGTATATCAAAAGATCGAATGGAACGTACAGTTGTCTGGTTAACGGAAACAGGGTAACGGTTACAGGAAAACGATGTTTGACAGCGGCGTGAAATATACGGCAAAGTTTGATCATAAAGTTCAGTGAATTCGATTTGTATACGAATTGCTATACATAGAATCAAAGACCTTGACTGTCGCCTTGACGCGTACGGAACGGTATTTGAAACTTCATTCGATTTTTCCTGTCGTAGGTGCAGCAGAGGATTAAGATGTGCAAGCCAGCAAGGAAGAAACGTTCTTAACGTCGTAAGTAGTCCCCGTCGTATTTTCCCTAATTTTTCGTTCTATTTCTCGTCATTGGCCCTATGTCCCGATGTTGTCCACGAAAGAATGAAGATTCCGAGTTCATCGTCGGGCTCGTAAAACACGCGGCGCGCACAAATGGCTGGCGATTCGTAGCTAGGTACGGAAAATGCGATGTATCGTTCTATTTTCACCTAGTTGTTTCTGTCTATGCTTCGTCCTACTTTGTAGTCAAGAAATAAAGGTCAATCGGTGCAACGATGTTAGTAAATCCTTTGCGCTTCGATACGATATCGAGCGGTCGAAAAAAAAAAAAAAAAAGAAAAGAAATAAAAGCTGACGGCGATGGGACGCAAACTGGCGGTAGCCGTGGTCGTATCCGTTTCGAGTGGACTTTGCGGAACAGCGCACCATCGCATCTTTGCTAATTTTAATTCGATCGTTACAGTCGAGTAATCGAACGATCGGCAATCGCGATTTCGTCTGACGGCGCGAGTAACGGAGAGGAAGCTTTCGAACGTCGGTGTTATTAACGTAGGAGATACAGCTTCCCGGTGTTGGGGCGAAATGGGTTAAGAAACGTGGTTAACTGGATCCCCGGATAGAGAGAGAGAGAGAGAGAGAGAGAGAGAGAGGGGGGGGAGGGGAAAGAAAGAACAGCCACGGATCGAGGTTGAGAAAATACCATCCAAGTCGTGGCGAAGCCGCGCTTCCGAAGCCAATAACAACAAGTTGATTCACGTCCCCCTAAATTTCGCGTCGTCTGTCCGTGAGGAATCGACGTTGGATCTCGATCGTTGGCTCCGTCTTTGCAAATCCAGACGATGGAACGTGGAACGTCTCGTGAACGGAGCTTTCCGCCTAACGCGATCAACGTTCAATTAAATTTCGATGCAGGTAAAAGAGGCCGATGCACGTATTCCGCGCATTCTCTCGGAGGTTAATACTCAATCGAGGTTGAGAAAATACTATTAAGGGTCAGACAACACGCGGGTTAATCGAATCAACGTATCGATTTGGCGCTCGATGTATAATGCAGCACGTTTTAAATAAATGAACAGCATCAAAGGGTAACCGCAGAGATCGTTTCGTATTCCACGCCGGGTGGCCGACTTTCGTAATCTTGGGAAACGTCGTTGGAATGGGTAATGAGGCGACGTGATAGAAACCACGCGGTAAACCTTTTATTTCGAGGAGACAACAGCGATTAATAAATAATTTCGATCAATTTCGTAACTACGTCTCAATGTCTGAACGCGTTGTCGAGTTAGCACGTCCGAACAAAGTATTTTATCTTTCGTGGACATCGCGCGATTACGAAGGTGCAAGAACGATCGGCTGTCTTTCTTCTGATAGTCGGGCACGAGAGCAAATCAAATTTCATCGTCCATTCCGCACACGTAATGGTGATTTACGGCAGATTTGAGGGTAGGGCACGATGACGAATCGTGTCACGGACACGGTGTTTAGGAATCTTTTAACCGAACGTTTTTCAAACGGTCGATAGGAATTGGACGAAAACCGACGTGCGTACTGCTTGACACGGACAAATTGGCGTAGAAAAGATGACGAAAAGATTCGAGTTTAATTGGCAGATCGACGTACCGCTAGCGCTTCGTCAGGGATGCACGTTCGACCGATGGTCAGAGGAGAAGGACAATACGGAACTCGAACTAAACTGTGTGTTCAAGGTCGACGAATATGGCTTTTTTATCTACTGGCAGAGCGAAGGGAGGGTAAGTAGAACGTGGCCACATCGAAATATACCGTTTAATCGTCGGATTGATCCGTGTCTCTGTTTCGTAGGACGGAGACGTGATAGAGCTGTGTCAAGTGAGCGATATACGCGCCGGTGGTTTACCGAAGGTAAGAATGTCTTTCCTCTCGACCAACAGGAATCTAGTGCCTTTTCCCGAGCGAATCAACCTCTTTCGATAGAAAAAAAATATACAACCGGGAACTCTGGAACTCTGTTTAACAAGTACGCTTACTTTGACAGCAATCGATAACGTTAATGGAAATATTTGTCTATCGTTTGAAACGTTCAGCAACACTTTAACGTTTCGATATTTCCAAACCTCTATTTTGCAAACTACGAGTCAGATGCTACACGTTTCCCATCCTGTCTAAAAAAGAGAATATCGGGACACTCGGTCGATGGCATACAATATACAGACTTTCTTCCTAGATTTTTAATCAAGCGTCTCGAGCCAGTGGACCATTTGAAAATTATTCCGCAATTTTATTCAGGATCCGAAGCTGTACGACAAGCTTCTCACGAAGCACGGAGAACAATTAGAGGAGAAATGTTTAACCGTCTGTTCAGGCGTAGATTATACCAATATTAATTACCAGCATGTCGTCTGTCCGGATCCAGCGACGGCCAAGGTAAATTTGCACGTTATATAATCTCGTCTGTTTGATCGCTCTGCCGAAAAATTAGTAAATGAAACGAGTCAGACCCGGGATTATCGAATATTCTTCCGCCGATAACGCTGTTTCGCGTGACATTTGTCGAATTAGTATTATTATTACATCGATCATAGAGACATTTTCCGATTCATTGGTTAAGCATTTATTATCGTAATCAATAAGCCCACGTGTTTGGTGTGTCCTGTGACAGATATGGCTGGATGGCATACGATCGATCACGCACAACGTGAAAGCCAACAACGTTTGCCCGCTTACGTGCTTGAAGAAACAGTGAGTTTACTAATGCAATTACACGCACACACGCGTACCTACCTACGCCGTTACTCGTAAACACGGCCGCCATGAAATAATTAGCCGGAGACATTCTACGACGGTAGATCTTTTATTTCACCGTGAAACTGCTCGTTACATCTGGTCTAACATGCGTTTCACGATAGCCTGCGAACGAGGTCGCGAAACATTTTTATCCGGCAAAAAGAAAAAAGGACATTTCTTCCCAAGTACACGAGAAAGTTATGCGAAGCATCTTTTTGTTGTTAAAAAGTAAAATCTCTTTCGCCATGTTCTAGCTGGATGCGGCTTAGAATGCTGGTCGATCCAAATGGAAAAGTTCCGGTGAAAGTGGTAGCCAGGACTTTCGCATCTGGGAAAACGGAAAAGCTCGTTTATCAGTGCCTCGCCGATTTAGGCCTATCTAGCGGAAAGGTAAATGGAAAAATAATGTATATCTCGCGCAGAAAATCCTCTTACGCGTTTACCGAAACTTTGACTTCGATTCGCAGAACGATGTCATCGAGCCGGAAGACTTCACTTTCGACGCGTTCTACGCGCTCTATCACAAAATCTGTCCTAGGAACGACATAGAGGAATTGTTCCAGTCCATGTAAGTGGCGAGAAGTACAATTTTCGAGCGTCATGTTTCCATCGTTCGAGATTGATTCGTTAATATACGCAGAGACGATGGTTTATTTGCATTGAACATTCGCAGCACCCAGGGCAAAGCGGACACAATCAATTTGGACCAGCTGGTCATGTTTCTAAACGAGAAGCAACGCGATCCAACTTTAAACGAGATCTTGTATCCGCTGTACGACGACAAGAGGGCGTTAGAGATTATAAACGATTACGAACAGAACGAGACAGCGCGAAATCAAAGTAAGATTCTTACCTAGCCTGTGTAATCGTTCGCTTCTCGAATCTGTCAGCCCTTATCCGCTCCATCTCTCTCATCGATCGCCTAATACGTATTCGAATTAGTTTGTACCTGCGAAATGGCATCCTTTCAGAAGCAATCACGTCCTTTCAGAAACGATGACGAAAGATGGTTTTATAAGGTACCTGATGTCCGACGAAAATGCACCAGTTTTCCTGGACAGGCTGGACGTATACATGGACATGGACCAACCGTTGGCACATTATTACATTAACTCGAGTCACAACACGTATTTGAGCGGGCGGCAATTCGGCGGCAAAAGCAGCGTCGAGATGTACAGACAAGTTTTGCTAGCTGGTTGCAGGTAAGGTGAACCATCATGAAAGTTCCTCTGCGTAGACGTATAAGAATTTGGCACTTTTACCCGAAGGTGCGTCGAATTGGATTGTTGGGATGGGAAAGGAGAGGACGAAGAGCCGATAATTACGCACGGGAAAGCAATGTGCACGGACATTCTGTTCAAGGACGTGATTTACGCGGTTAGAGACACCGCCTTTGTCACGTCGGAGTACCCGGTGATTCTCAGTTTCGAGAATCACTGCAGCAAGAAGCAACAGTACAAATTGGCCAAATATTGCGACGAAATTCTGGGAGATCTGCTGCTGAAAGAACCCCTCAGAGAGTTCCCCGTGAGTCTACCTCGTCAATTTTAATATCGTTCATCGCCTGGTCTTGTGATTCTCGCGATAAAGAATCGAATACGTCAATTCGAAATCTAGATTTTCATCGGTAAACAAGACGAACGCGTTACCGCTCGACGTTATCGAGACTTACCGCCGTTGTTCGATAGCCGATACGATCGAGTGCCCGCGATTAAATTACGCGTGCGTGTTATAAAATCAAGATAGAAGCTACGGACGTAAGAGCAGGTGTCGAAGGGATAAAAGGCATTAACTAGTACCGATGTTGCGATTTGATAAAACAGCTGGAAGCAGGAGTAGCGCTACCACCGCCTAACATGCTGAAACGTAAAATCCTGATAAAGAACAAACGCTTGAAACCCGAGGTGGAAAAGCACGAATTGGAATTATTTCGACAAGGTCAGTTCGTGATCGAGGACGAGGTGAAAGAGGACGCGAGCGCGCCTCCTTCCGTGGCAGCGGTCGTTGAGCAACAATCGGTAAAGGTAACCTTTGATACGACTACCAGCATGGAACTCCTCACGTCCACTTTCTTTGCGTCTAATCAAACGATATGATTTGCCGAAGACGAAATCGGTTACCTTTCAGGAAGAGGTATCGACGGCCGAGTCAGTGGCGTCGTCGACCACTGGCAACCAACAGCAATCTAGTTCTAGTACAGGTTTGGCCGACACTTTGGAACTAGCTGTGGTTCAGCCGTACACCGGAAGTACAACAAACGTCCATCCATGGTTGTCCTCTATGGTCAACTATGCTCAACCCATAAAGTTCCCGGGCTTCGATATTGCCGAACGTAAGGCAAAGCTTTCCCTCGGTTATGCGTTTAAAAGAGAGAAAAGATTGATGATCGTGCCCTCTTGTACAGAAAAGAATATTCATCACAATATGTCTTCCTTCGCGGAAACCGCTGGCCTGAATTATTTGAAGACGCAAGCCATCGAGTTCGTCAATTATAACAAGCGTCAAATGAGCCGCATTTATCCGAAAGGCACTCGGGCGGATTCATCGAATTACATGCCACAGGTAAATTTTGCCGCACGTATAAATCGTACCGCGCCAAGCACCGATAGCCTTTCACACGTACCGTCCCAATGATCGATCATGGAAAACAGGTCTTCTGGAACGCTGGCTGCCAAATGGTGTCGTTAAATTTTCAAACCGCCGATTTGCCGATGCAACTGAATCAAGGAAAATTCGAGTACAACGGCTCCTCTGGCTATCTGCTGAAGCCGGATTTCATGAGGCGAGCCGATCGAAGTTTCGATCCTTTCGCCGAAAGCCCTGTGGACGGCGTAATCGCTACTCAATGTAGCGTTCAGGTATTTCGTCGTAACATCCTACGACACTTTGCATCTGCCGCGCGCATATGGCATCGCGCAAACGTTAATCGGAATTTTCATTCGCGATCGCAGGTTATCGCGGGTCAATTTCTGTCCGACAAGAAAGTCGGAACGTACGTGGAAGTGGAAATGTACGGTCTACCCACAGACACGATTCGCAAAGAATTCCGGACGAGAGTAGTTCCAGCGAACGGCCTGAACCCAGTGTACAATGAAGAACCCTTCCTCTTTCGAAAAGTCGTCCTACCCGATTTGGCGGCACTGCGATTCGCTGTTTACGACGAGTCGAACGGCAAGCTGCTGGGCCAAAGAATCGTCCCGTTGGACGGTCTACAATCGGGATATCGACACATATCTCTGAGAACCGAGGCAAATTTCCCCATGTCGTTGCCTATGCTGTTCTGTAACATCGAGATCAAGATTTACGTACCGGATGGCTACGAAGGTGAGCTTCGATGTCGCTCCAGTCGATCTCGAGTGCGATCTATCGTCGCCTAGCCGGTTGCTTTCATCCGAGCTTGATTCGCAGGACTCATGGACGCGCTCACGGCGCCACGGGCCTACAAAAAAGCGGAAAACGCGTCGCAAAATAAAATGCGTGGTCTTGGCATAGAGGAAAGCGACAGTAAAGGCCATTGCGATTCCGCGCCAGCTCATCGCGAAGTTCCGAAACCTCGAGGTAAATGTCTCGATTCGATCGCTCCACGAGTACGAATATCTACGGGCTGGTTTTCTTTCAGAGGAAATGAAATTCAACCCCATAACGGTGGACTCTTTGCGGCAGGAGAAGGGATACCAAAAGGTACTGAGGAAACAGCAAAAGGAATTGGAATCTCTGAAGAAGAGGCATCAGAAAGAGAAATTTACCGTCCAGAAACAACACTGTGCCGCGATAGAGAAGATCATCAAGGGAAAAAAGTACGTAACGATTCGTTGTGTTTGCTTAGGGTCATGGTGCACGTGCACGCGTGCGAGAGTTTCATTTTCCATTTCGTCTGTTTCATGGTTCAACAGCAAAGCGGAACTTTCGAGAGACCCGGTGGTTCGTCGAGAAGTCTCCGAGCAAACCGTTCAATGGTCTCGATTAGCGGATAGGCAACGACGCGAGGAACGCGACCTGGTACGTTCTCATTTGGAGGAACGACGGAACACCTTGCGAAAATTATGCGTGTCTGCCCAAGTGGCCCAGCAGAAGCAGCTCACGGCACGGCACGAGCGCGAGATCAAAGAAATGAACGCGAGACAGGCCAGACTCTCGGTGGAGAGTATGAGAGAAGTGATGAACGATAAAACGTTGAAGACGCGGGGAATCAAGGAGGGTCGACTTCGGGAGAAGCAGCAGAACAATACGAAAAAATTCATGGAGGAGAGGAAGATCGCACAAATGATACAAAACAGGGAAAAGGAGAAGCTAAAAGTAATTCACGAAAAGCAACTGGAGGAATTGCAGAAAGATATGAATGCGGTAAAGAACGCGTTTGTCGTACGATTTAAGGTAACGCGAAGTAGAAATGACGTTGAACCACGTGTTTCAGGTTATGGATATGTACAACAACGAGGAAATGGAATACGAGTTGGGCCCTAAAACCGAATGCTACGTGTGATGGCCGACAGGTCGAGTGCAAAGTTTTTCGAGAAACTGAGGTGCTGCTGCATTCAGAGAATCCGCTCCTATCGTTAATTACAACTGGAATTGGGATCAAGCCTCGTTAGCTATCGTTCTCGGTATCGTGAGAACCGGAAGCAACAGACAAACCGCGTTAATCGTACTCTAGTTCATTCTCCTGAATATTTTTTTATAAAAGAAGCATCTTGTAACTTCATACCCTCCGTCGTCGCACGAGCAAGTACCTAGACTAAATAAGGGAGTCAATAAAAAACTAAAGTGATCTAGTCAAGTTCTTATATTAATAAGTATATATAT